TTCGGTCCACGTTGCCGGTCCTTTGTTTGAAGACGAGCGCTCCCTTCTTTATGCGACCCACATTGCCGGCCCTCTGTGGGAGGCGGGAGCTTGCCATTCAGGTCGCGTCGCATCTGAAATGGAGTGCGGGGGGGAGGGGGGTCCGCGTCCAATTGTTTCTGTTTCGTTACAGTCATTTATCGCTGACCGATCGAGACATGATAATTCTCTTTATTCGTCCTCACAGTATTTCCTCTGCTTGATGACATGCAAAGCAGAATTTCAGACTTTTTTGTTGCTTTCGCCAGGAAGGAAATTTGCAATAAGGATTCAGTCCAAGAAGAAAAAACAAATAAGATGAGGTTATGTAGGTGTCTCGATCGAGAACAGAAAAGGAAGAACTAGAGAATTTGTATGCAAGAAAAGAACACACATGCAATGATCAAGAGTAGAATCTGAAGGTGGTAGGGGAGAAGAAGTATTATAAGAAGTATTAGAAGAAGCAGGAGATATGAACAAGAAGAGGTATGAAAGAAGAATCAGGAAAGTGATGAAGGAGGAAAAATTTGAAGGGCAAAAGAAAGACTTAGAAGACAAGAAGAGAAGAGGGGAAAATGAAGAAAACATGAAGGAGGAAAGGAAGACGAATGGAATCAAAAGAAAATTGGATAAGGAAAGAAACATACAAATGAAACGACAGAAACAAAGTAAAAATTTTTAGAGCTGAGAAAAATTAAACAAGAAAGAAAATGAAGCTAGGTTTAGTGATTTTGCTTGTGTCTTGGATCATCATTAATCACCTGGCAATCGATGCGTTAATCCGGCAGCTGGGCAAGCTAAATTTGGAACTCCTTCGCTAGAATCTACCAATGCTGAAGAGAAAGTTGGCAGGTCATCTGCTTCTATGGTTTGCAGCACGATAAACAAAAGTTTATTTAAAATTTAATTAATTTGTTCTGACGTTCTCACCGAACAGGAGACTAAATAATGTTTTATTCCTTAATGATGCCAGTTCGGCTGAGAGAACCCCTCCTCGGAGAGTAGAAGCATGGAGCGGTGTAAGTCCAGATTAGTAGATGAAATATTTTAATTTAATTCAATCAAGTGTTTAAGAGTCTGCAGTGCGCATGACTGAAGATTCCCTCTCCGAATAGAGCTAAAAAGTGACATGTTCAGGCACCAACAAAATTTGCCACTATTCGTAGACAGATGACGACCCTCATGGCAGTTTTTCGACTAAAGTGCAGATAAACATAGAAGCACAGACTAGGGTTAGAAGTGTTCGCTGTCGAAATATCTTAAGGCAAAAGTCACAAGTTTTTTGTATACTTCCATCATGCTGAAAAAATGCCCCGCAAAACAGTACTAGAAAGTCCTATGGCAAAGCATAGATAAAATATGCATAATTTAACGAAACCATGTTGCTCTAGGTAATTACACAGTCACTTTGCTCCTAAGGCTAAATGAGTCGTTTAATGTATGTAGATGTTTCCAGTGTATTTTATCACCGCAACTATGTAGGGAGAAACAGTAAAAATATGGATTAATTCGTCTTCATCATCAGTCTTTTTCGATCCCCTGCTGGATGAAGGCATTTTTGAGTTTGTGCCACAAACTTCTGTTCTCGGACGATTACTACACATCCAGTCTTGCTTCACAAAACTTTTCCAACTCACC